GAGCTTGCGTTGGTTTTCCTTGAAGAGGAAAGGGTGATGCAGCAATAGTAGCATAAGTATTTCCCTCAGTTTTTGAGAATCAAGGTATCAATACAGTAGGAGGCTCCTCAAAAGTCCCACGCACCTACACAAACAAACAAAGAACTCACAACCAACGCAATAAAGGGGTTGTCAATCCCTTCACGGCCACTTGCGAAAGTGAGATCTGATAGAGATAGTATGATAAGATAAATATATTTTTGGTATTTTATAATATAGATTGGAAAAGTAAAGATGCAAATAAAAATAGATTGAAAGCTTATTTAAAACAAAACAGAGGCTAGCCAACTCACCTCCAGAAGGCTTCCCCGATTGGGGCCTCGTTGGCCGTCTGATCTGCCCCTCCAACTCAGTTGCACCGTTGGATCTTTACTTGCAGTTAAATCATTTTTCACCTCGTAGTCATTTTACTGCCCAATGACAAGTGGGCTCGTCTCACGCTTGCAGTGGCTGGGTCAGCAGCGGGTCATTTTCGGCCGGGTGAGCCTTTCCTCGCGCGCCCCGCGTCGCGCGTCTCGTGGCTTGCCTGGGGCTGGAGCGAGGAGCCCATTGGGCACGACCGCACCAACCCTAGCTCCCGATCCACAGCCACGCACTCCTCCCTCCTCCCTCTCACAGCCACCACACCCCGTTCCTCTCTTCCTCCTCCCTCCTCCTTCCCGGATCCCTGCCACCGCCACACCCACTCGTCTCCTCCTCTCTCTTCTAGCTAACTCCTCCTTCCTGATCTCTGCGTTAGCCGCAGCGCGAGAGGAACAGCAGCAGCGGAGATGCTCCGATGGCGGAGTCGAGTTGTGAAGCGGCGGCGCCCGAGCGCGAGTCGACAAAAGCTGGAGCGGCTACTCTGGGCCCCGATCTGGGGGGTTCGGTTCCAGGGCGCCGACGGCTTCTTTGTCTATGACGCGGGGCCGAGCCGCCGGGGGAAGCCTTGGATTCATGCAGGGGGGCTCCCTGGGGGGTGCAGAGGAGGGGTTGGACGAGCGGGTGAGGATGCGTGAGGCCAGAAGGAGTTTGGGGTCGCCAGAGGAGCATAGCCCGCACGGGGGCTGGTCATCGCCAGAGCAGAGGGGAGGAGGTCGATGCAGGGGACGCCATGGATGGTCGGGGCGCTGGCTCCTCCTTTCGCCATGCCACAGCTGCCTAGATCCGGCGATCCCCTCCCACTCTGGCATCCATGTTGGTTGACTCGATCTCTCAATCACCCCATCGCCGCGCTGCACACCGTCGTCAAGGACCAAGCCGCCGCCGCCACGGTGTCCTCCTCCCCGGTGGCCGCGGGTGCCCTGCCCGCCAAGCTTCCCATTCTTATCTTTCTGGAGGAAATCTGGTAGTGCTCGAGTGCACGGTGATGCTGTCACAGTATCCCCCTCCCCGGTGCTCTTAGATCCAGCAGTAGCTCAACGCAGGAAAGCTGGTTGTGCTCGATCTGCTCGCCTCCTTCACCTCGCAGGCTCAGCAAGCGGCAACAAGGTTAGCTCTGTTTCTCCCACTCCCCTCCCCCTCTCCCTCCTATAGATTTCTCTCTAATGGCAACTCCTATGGGTTTGGTGTATCATAGCTTTTTTTCTTTCTTCCAGCTGAAGCCTGCTCTCATTATGCCTACCACCTCTCTATGAGATCAGTAGGTTTGATCGCCTCGTCTGCAATTTGGCTGATTCCAGATAGTATTCTTGTTCTGTATGGGAGATACGAGTTTGGATGTAGCTCACTGACCAGGAGAACCTGCGATGCCAGCAGACCAATCTAGATCTGCACGTGTTGAATATGCAAACAGTTATGTAGTATGTGCAGTTTACTTGCTCTGTTTTTACGGGGATTTTGGAATTTCCATACATGCATGACGCAGATCCGTTCTGTGATTTCCATTGTCTATTTACTGGTGACCCATGTGTGTCTTATTTCCATCTTTCTTTGTCTTGATATAGCTAAAGGTCAACTGCTAGCCCATCCGTGCAATTCACTAATTTAATTATGCCTGCTTGCTCGAAGTCTATTTTATAGATGGCCAGCATATTATCGTGGGAGGTGTTTAACTATTTTCTCTGGAATAAACTGAAAGCTGATTATTTTGAAAATGCATCATATCGCACTGATTTATAATAAGATTGTTACGCATCATGAGTTTTTGGCATATACTTTTGAGTTATATATTGCCATTCCAAGTTGCCAACTAACTGATACATGGTTATGGTTGAGGAACAATGTTGAGCAGTGCAAGGTTACACCATCACAGTTCAAACACATCTTTTTTGGCTGATAGTTTTTGAGATAGCTTATTGCTTATGCCCAATGGGAGTTTAATTGGGAATCTTTAATATTCTAAGAATCACACCGGCGCAACACGCTTAGGTTGTTTCCAGATCTCATGTTTGTCTAAGTCACCAAGTTAACCCACAAGAATTTGTTTACTTTCTTGGCTATTGTGGTTAAAGGCATCCTTTTATTAGAGCTATATATAGTTTTTGGACATGTTCCAGTTTGGTTATTTTTTTATGGATTTTGAATATGTTTCAATTTGATCACTTTTGAGACTCAGTTAGAACAGATAATTTTTGTTTCTTTACCATATAGTTCCTAATCAGAAAAGCCTCATCTGCAAGTTGGAGGCATTGGCGTGAAGGTGTCGTGAGTTATCTGCAAGGGCATTGTTGTGACGTGCTCCTCCATGTCTCCCGCGAGTTCTTGGTGTGGCGACCATGGCTCCAGAGAGCAGCGCTTCAAGGTCAGTTAAGCCTGAATGAGTTATCAAGTCTACTGGAACCATTCCTATTTAGGCTTGTTCATTGGTTTAGAACAAACACTCCCTTAGTTAAGTATGTTTAATCACAATTAAAAGGAGGAAGTCAGATTATTGCAATGTATGTGCCTGAACTCGAAAGCTTGATCCACTACCACTTGCCCCTGCCGCTGTGTCATAATATCTCATTTTCATATATAAGATGATAGTAACTGAATGATCATATTAGGACTCCATTATTGGCAGCCTTGTGAGGTTTTCTTCATAACTTGTTCTCCTGTTTTTAATGTTTGTATTCTCTTTGTTGCAAGGTGTGGCTGCAGGTAAAGTTGTCAAGATGATCTGGTGCTTGCTCGAGCCGTTGATTACTGCTGCTTTGCAGGTTCAAGGTCTTACTACATGAGAAATTTATTCCAATGCTTGCTCAACCCCTTTACCATGATGACTACCAGTGGAACCTTCGATGTGTATAGAAGGTGATGCATATGGGGACAGACAAGAACTAGCGAACTTAATATCAGAACTATGAATTCTTTAATTATTGGAGGTTTTCATATTCATATCAACACAAGGCGAGATATGATGCAGGTGAATGCCTTTATTTTGTTTCTTTACGATCTTCTCCTCTACTTAATGATACATGCAGTGTATAGGGTCATCGAGTCAGTTAGAATGCTTTCGTGACAACCGGTATAAGGGCATCTCCAACAAGTTGTATGTTAGTCTTGTTGGTAAAATGTCCATGTCATCAACCAACAAGCTATCATACAACTACTCCAATAGGTTGTATGTAAACTATCCAATAGATGGTGAGAAAATAAATGTGATTGCTCTCTATTTCACCTTGGAGCTTGTGCAAAGGTTTGGTTAATCTACATACAACTTTGCTCTCTCTCCACATTTATTACTTGCCACGTCATCACTATGTCCTAGGTGGTAAATTAACCAACACCTATCTTATGACTGTTGGAGATGCCCTAACTGAATCAGGCAAGGTGTGAATAAGTGTGCTTAAATGCTTGCTTTGTTTATGTGTTTACTGCTTACTATGTCGTACAAGTTTCACTTTTGAATCTGCCCTCTTTTAGGCACGTGTCTTTCCCACATATATGTTGGTAAATGTGTGCACTAATGTAGGATGGAGAGGTTAGCATGCTTACTCCATGTGTAATAATTTCAGAACTACTGTGTTGTAGTAATGTCTTTTGCTAAACCTCTTATTTGGTACATCCATCATTCCAACCAGTTTATGCGTGATGATTTAGGGTGTGTTTTGCTTTTTTGCTACTTTAAATTTAAATGCTCAAGAAATTTGATAAGCGTAGATTGCAGTTGCAGAGAGTATGGGCACAAAAGTTTTGAAGAAATTTGTGAATGTTGTCATTAAGATCTTTGAAGAGAGATATCTCCTTGTACCAAATGAAGCAGATGCTACAAGGCTTCTGTAGATGGGTGCATCAAATGGCTTCCCTAGTATTTGTGGAAGCATAAAATGTATGCATTGGAGGTGGTAGCATTGCTAAAGATCTACATATTGTAGCAGTAGTTTTTACTATGAAACATAAGCTCTTTTTACAGTGCAATTATTAAATTGTAGTAGTAGTTTTTCTTGTAGCTTGTAGTAGTAGTTTTTATTGTCAAAATCAGTCCTTTCTCTATACTTGTTGATCTTTTTAGTCTGAATTTTCCAGCCAATTCAGGATTTTTGTTTTGCAACATTATGGACGATGCATGTCTTTTATATTGGCTTGGATTGCAAGCTCTTCTTTACATTGGTGACACATATGACCTACAGCGTTGAATCAGTTGTATTTTTTTGTTGAATTTCAAATCAAAAGTCTTGAATTATAGTTTCAGTTCTTTCTACTTAGATTGGCAATCAGTTAACTATCCAAGTACAACTTACTGAATGACATGTGTTATCATGAATGAAAGCTGGTCCAGTCCAACCTGTCATTTTTTATTGGGTCTAAAATTTGACTGAACCTGAACTGAACTTTAGCTCAACCTCATTTGACAAACAGATACACACACAACGCAGAATATATATACGTTCTTGAATGATATACTATATATATATACCTTCATCCACACTGTCTGATTACCAGTGCTTTTTGTTGTTGTCAGCGACATCATGGGTGCCGGTGGCAGAATGACGGAGGAGCGGGAGAAGCAGGAGCTACTCGGCCACGCTAGCGCCAGTGAGATCTTCTAGCGTGCGCCGATGGACAAGCCGGCATTCACGCTGGCCCAGATCAAGGAGGCAATCCCGCCTTACTGCTTCCAGTGCTCGTTGATCAAGTCCTTCTCCTATGTGGTCTATGACCTCGTCATCAGTGCATCCCTCTTGTACACCGTGTTGGTCTGGATCCCAACACTCCCGAGCATGCAACAGCTGGGCACATGTCCGCTCTACTGGGTGCCTCATTTTGATTTTCTTACCTTGGTGAGTTTGTATTCAGAAAATTAATTTGCCTATTTTTGCTTTTTAATCTGTGTTGGGAGAAAGATGTTCCTCTTTGTTGAGAAAATGTTTATTGTATGGACCATACAAGGTTCTTTCTCCAAATGTTATTGTGTGTGCAACTATGATCTGTTTTCCTTGTGCAGAGGGCTGCGACGAGGCAGACAGGTGGTGGGCAGCAACAATAGGGGTTGGCGGATGCTCCGAGACCAATAGCCTACTTAGTGGTATGCCTCCCTGTTCGTTTTTTGGTGTTTCCTCCAGATTGGTGTCGTGCAGTTCTTACTTGTTTTGTGTGTGTGTGTGTTGTGTGATGTAGATGGGAAGGAGGATCCGACAAGTTAGCCCCCACAGTTGTGTTGTTGGAGAACTTCTGCGAGCTCAGTAAAATAATGAATCTTCATCTCCGATGTTTTCTCTCAAAAATGGAGCGCGGATCGCAGGAGCAAGGAGCTGGTCGAGTGTAGTGAACAAGAAATCAACGCGGCACATGTGGAAGTTGTGAGAGCTGTGAATGGCACCGGTCTTGTCATACTAATGAGCAGGAGCACCGGCCACATTACTCGTCATGCCACTCGGTAATGCCCCGGACACACCCGCTGGTGGTCGTTACTCCTGGCGGGATCTAGACTGGCCTAACAGATCAATACTAGTCTTTTCTGCGCACTTTCTCCTCACTCATGCGCACCCGGGAGCAACTTCCCGGTCGGTCACCCATCCTGAAATTACTCCAAGCTAAGCATGCTTAACTTTGGAGTTCTTTCCGAATGGGCTCCCAAAAAAGAAGTAATTCCTTATTGATATGAGTACTCTATCATCCCTAATAAGCCATGCTATCACATACACCCCCACTTAGAGGAACCGATGTCCTCGTCGGGCCACATGAACGTTCCCTCTTGGCACATACGTCTGTGCATCCAGTCCGGCACATGTGCCATGCCGTGTGCCACGACGGGTCACAAACGTCATGAACAACATGATTGCGCACCTGTTCGCAAACATCCATGTAACCGCGAGGGTCGGCTCTGATACCAACTTGTAACGCCCCGGACACACCCGCTGGTGGTCGTTACTCCTGGCGGGATCTAGACTGGCCTCATAGATCAATACTAGTCTTTTCTGCACACTTTGTCCTCACTCGTGCGCACCTGGGAGCAACTTCCCGGTCGGTCACTCATCCTGAAATTACTCCAAGCTAAGCACGCTTAACTTTGGAGTTCTTTCCGAATGGGCTCCTGGAAAAGAAGGAATTCCTTATTGATATGAGTAGTCTATCATCCCTAATAAGCCAGGCTATCACACACTCTGAGCAGTTGGCTGCTGCTTGAGATTGATTTCCATGTTCAAGGGAAGGGAGACCTGATTGAGTTCCTGTATATGCAAGAAGAAGGGGCATTATCGTGGTTGTTGTTGAAGGTGTTGGTCAGGAGCTGATTACCGGGACTGATGACAAGAACGAAGAGCAGGATGAGTATGTCAACATGTTGTTCCTTAACGTTGGCCTTCTTCTATAAATTTCACATGCAACTCTCCTCCATGGTTAGAAAAAGCTAATTTAAACGTTTTGTTTCTTTGATGGTTACTCATTTCTCTTACCGTTGTTGTATCAAAACAATTGTATTTTCGCTGATGGCCGCTTGGGCTCATTTTCAAAGAGAATGAGATGTGGAATAAACTACTCTGAAATGGTTGGTTCCCTTCAAACAATTTATTAGCTAACTAATTTTGGCTGCTGTTGCACATGATACAATTGTGCTCTGTTGTTGCCATCTTGCATTTTATGTGAGCTTAAACAGACAATCAATTAAACTTTTACTAAGTTCTTATCGTATGTATTTGCTCAAACAGTTACTGAAAAAATGCAAATATTTTTAGCAAGTACATGGTTTTAAATGGGACTCGGTGCCGTTTAGTGCAATGGGCAGTGTTATACAAATATAATTTTTTGGTGCAAGGTTATACATTTTTTTTCAAACTTGGATTTCACAATGTGAAAGACATTTTCAAAAGAGTATGGTTTAATATATGGGCTTTCTACAACGAGTATTGAAGTCCTTGCAAAGTGAAACTATTTTCATCGACAACATGGCTTTAGCGGGTCTCTGCGCCATTTGGCGCAACGGATGAGAAATTGCACCAGTCGGCGGCTGAGAAAACGCCTGTGTCACCCAGCTGAGGAACCGGGAAAGAAAGGAAGGGGATAGACAGTCTCCACTGGATCCGCCCCCTGCCGCTTCATATTCAGCTCCTCACGGGCCACAAGCATCGCTCTACGTGGGCTGGGCTAAATAACATATGGCCTATCCTAATACCTCTTGATCCCTATATCTCCGTATATGCACAACAAAGACACTTTTTTTCTTAGGTTTCTTATCTTTTTCCCTTTTTTTGCAGGAAAAATATGCACGGCCAGGTTTCTCATCATGATAACCATGTTTTCAAACTTGCTAAAAAAATACAACCATGCCAACTTTACTCTCTCATCATAGTGGCCATATTTTCAAACTGAACATATTCATATTATGCAAAGTTTTCCTTTTCCCAAACTATTATTTAACAACATAATAAACTTGTTTAAAAAATAGCATGATTTTGTTGAAGGTTCTTGCAGCATGAAACTATTTTCATCGACAACATGTCTTCAGCAGGTCTCTGCGCCATTTGGCGCAACGGGTCAACTAGTATGATAAAAGATACACCCCGGGGCCATAGGTTTCACTAGTGGCTTGTCTCAAGATAGCATAAGTATTACGGTGGGTGAACAAATTGATGTCGAGCAATTGATAGAAAAGCGAATAATTATGAGATTATCTAGGCATGATCATGTATATAGGCATCACGTCCGTGACAAGTAGACCGACTCCTGCTTGCATCTACTACTATTACTCCACACATCGACCGCTATCCAGCATGCATCTAGAGTATTAAGTTCATAAGAACAGAGTAACACATTAAGAAAGACGACATGATGTAGAGGGATAAACTCACGCAATATGATATAAACCCCACCTTTTTATCCTCGATGGCAACAATACAATACGTGCCTTGCAACCCCTATTGTCACTTGGTAAGGACACCGCAAGATTGAACCCAAAGCTAAGCACTTCTCCCATTGCAAGAAAGATCAATCTAGTAGGCCAAACCAAACTGATAATTCGAAGAGACTTGCAAAGATAACTCAATCATACATAAAAGAATTCAGAGGAGATTCAAATATTTCTCATAGATAAACTTGATCATAAACCCACAATTCATCGGATCTCGACAAACACACCGCAAAAAGAGTTACATCGAATAGATCTCCACAAGAGAGGGGGAGAACATGGTATTGAGATCCAAAAAGAGAGAAGAAGCCATCTAGCTAATAACTATGGACCTGAAGTTCTGTGGTAAACTACTCACAACTCATCGGAGGGGCTATGGTGTTGATGTAGAAGCCCTCCGTGGTTGATTCCCCCTCCGGCGGAGCGCCGGCGAAGGCTCCAAGATGGGATCTCACGGATACAGAAGGTTACAGCGGTGGAAATTGTTTTTCATTGGCTCCCTGGATGTTTTCGGGGTACGTGGGTATATATAGGAGGAAGAAGTAGGTCGGTGGCCGCCCGAGAGGGCCACGATAGGGGGGCGCCCTATAGGGGTGGGCGCGCCCTCCACCCTCGTGGCCGCCTCAGCTGCTTCTTGGCTTGCACTCCAAGTCCTCTGGATCACGTTCGTTCCAAAAATCACGCTCCCGAAGGTTTCATTCCGTTTGGACTTCGTTTGATATTCGTTTTCTTCAAAATACTGAAATAGGCAAAAAAAACAGCAATACGGGCTGGGCCTCCGGTTAGTAGGTTAGTCCCAAAAATGATATAAATGTGTAAAATAAAGCCCATAAACATCCAAAAGGGGTAATATAATAGCATGGAACAATAAAAAATTATAGATACGTTGGAGACGTATCAAGCATCCCCAAGCTTAATTCCTTCTCGTCCTCGAGTAGGTAAATGATAAAAACATAATTTTTGATGTGGAATGCTACCTAGCATATTTCTCAATGTAATTTTCTTTATTGTGGCATGAATGTTCAGATCCAAATGATTCAAAATGAAAGTTCATATTGACATAAGAAATAGTAATACTTCAAGCATACTAATAAAAGCAATCATGTCTTCTCAAAATAATATGGCTAAAGAAAGTTCATCCCTACAAAATCATATAGCTAGGCTATGCTTCCTTTTCATCACACAAAAATGTTCCCAAATTCTACACCCCCAATGACAAGCCAAGCAATTGTTTTGTACTTAAATAATCTCAAACTTTTTCAACTTCACGCAATACATGAGCATGAGCCATGGATATAGCACTATGGGTGGAATAGAATATGATGATGGGGATTGTGTGGAGAAGACAAAAAAGGAGAAAGTCTCACATTGACGAGGATAATCAACGGGCTATGGAGATGCCCATCAATTGATGTCAACATGAGGAGTAGGGATTGCCATGCAACGGATGCACTAGAGCTATAATGAATGAAAGCTCAACAAAAGAAATTAGTGGGTGTGCATCCAACTTGCTTGCTCACGAAGACCTAGGGCATTTTGAGGAAGCCCATCGTAGGAATATACAAGCCAAGTTCTATAATAAAAAATTCCCACTAGTATATGAAAGTGACAACATATGAGACTCACTATATGAAGAACATGGCGCTACTTTGAAGCACAATATATGAGACTCGCTATATGAAGGACATGGTGCTACTTTGAAGCACAAGTGTGGAAAAGAGATAGTAACATTCCGCTTTTTATTTATTTTCCTTTTTTTTCTTTATTTTTTTGGGCCTTTATTTTTTTTTCTTTTTAGCCTCTTTTTTCTTTTGGCCTTTCCTTTTTTTATTTGCCCTTTTTGGGGGGGACAATGCTCTAATAATGATGATCATCACACTTTTATTGATTTACAACACATGAATTACAACTCGAAATGAGAACAAGATATGACTCTATATGAATGCCTCCGGCGGTGCACCGGGATGGTGCAATGAATCAAGAGTGACATGTATGAAAAAATATGCATGGTGGTTTTGCCACAAATACGATGTCAACTACATGATCATGCAATGGCAATATGACAAAAGTAATGTGTGTCATGATGATAAACGGAACGGTTGAAAGTTGCATGGCCATATATCTCAGGATGGCTATGGAAATGC